CCAGACTTGGACATTTGGGGGTGTTTCCAGTGGGGGGGGCAGTGGAGATGACACCACTTTGCGAGCATTTTACTTGGTTGTAAGGGTAGGGTTGCTCAACAGTCTTTTAGATGTGCCAAATAAAAACGCACATCAAAAGGTAATTGGAAATGGAAGGAAAGGGAAATTTATTCTGGTGTAGAATGTTCAAGTCCAGACCTAGTTTTTTTTTTTTTTTTTTTTCCCAGAGTATACACTTTGTAAACACCTCTGACCCGCATGGGCTTAAAAAACTTTGTGTCAAAATGCGCAGCTTTTTCATTCCATTTTTTCATACCCTTGCCTGTGAACTTTGCAGAGTTTGTAGGAAAAGGAAGTGGTGATGGGCAGGATAAGCCCTTGGGAGCTGGTTGGGGGATTAAAGAGACCCTGGGTTGGGCCTGACCTTTTCCTCAGGAGGGTGAATGACTAGGCAGAGAAAGAATGCAAGTTTGTAACTATTTCAAAGAAAAGAAAGGTAGGCACTGCAGAACCTGACCTGCCTCCTTTCTCTTTCGATTTTGTTTTTTGGTTGTTGTTGTTGCAAATTAAATGCAAAAATGTGCCCTGCTCCTTAAAGGGAAATTTGTTACTGTCTGGAAGGTAGGAAAAGTGAATGGAAGCGGTGTTTAACATGGATGGCTCACATTTGCAAATCAAAGAGGTGCAGCCCCACACCCCACTGGGCCAGAAAGGGAGACTGATGAGCCCAGCCTGCCCCAGTTCCTTCCACAGTGGGTCAAACCCGAGGTGCCCTGCGCCCCTTGGCCAAGGGCACCAAGCAGTTGGCTAGCAAAGAAGTCCGGTTCACCCTGCCCTCCCTCCCTACCTCTTGGTGCACAAGCCCCACACTGCAGTGGAAAAGCAGGCACAGAGTTTCCTAAAGTGTGTTCCGCAGGATGCTTATTTTTCCCTGGAGTCTTTGGAGAGGAACCCTGGGACCGGGTGGCCCAAGATGCTGCCCACCCACAGCTTGCACCGGGCAGCTTTCCAGGCCGGAGCCCAGCTCTGCTCCTTGGCAAGTGACTCGTCCCTCGTTTTTTCCCTTTGTTGAGCCAGGGTGGTGATGGTGTGTCACCACCAAGGGTTGCCATGAGCCACTTGGAAGAGAGTGCATGCACAGTGAATGCTTGCTGAGTGCCCAGACGGCTTCTCCCGTCACGAGGCATGGCGGGAACGAAGGGAGAGGTGGATCAGCAGTTGCCAAGCAGTTGGAGAAACCCAGAGAAGATACAGTTCTGAGAGAAGAGAGGAGAGCTGTTTGAGGGACTAGTGTAAGTCACCTGGAATCGGAACCCAGGCTTTGTGCTGTGCCATAGCTGGTCCGCCCACCTCCCTAGAGGAGAGCAGGTGTCGTCAGCAGTGAGCTGTACCTAGGACTCCCAGGCAACCCCACTGGTTGGGCTTTTAGAGGGAGGGCCCCCCCACCCCCCTGCAGGCCCCGTTGCTCACCCTCTGGAGTCAGCCCTACCTCTACACCTGCGTGACTAGAGTCCAGCCCCTTGGGTGACTTGTTCTACCCCATGGTGGGGGTGCCTGCAAAAGCTGGTGGGCCCTGGGTTACTGCCTCTGCCTCCTACACAGGGGGGTAACCATTGTACAGGAGAACTGAGTCCAGGCACTTCTGCTCAAGTTCCCTGTGTTTGTCTCTCCTGCAGGGTCTCTTGCCTCTGGGGAACATGAGTTCCCCCTCGCCACCTCCACCCCACCCTGACCAAGGTCCTTGTTTATTGGGGGTGGAGTTGAGGGGGTTCTCCTGGTGTGTCTCAGAGAACAGCCAGTTTCCAGTGAGGGTGGGGAGCAGGGTGACGAGTGCTGTTAACCTTTGAGATGTCTGGTGGAGAGGGCAGGACAGGATGAGACAAGTGGCCATGGTGCCTCCGTCCTGGGCCACTGCGGGCAAGGCGTGGCGCTGTTTGTGTTCCAGGGTTGTCGGGTGTGCTCCTGTGTCTACATTTCTGCCCTTAGTTTGCTCCCTGATGGGCAGTGAGAGGCCAGGCTTGCTTCCTGCCGGCCAGCCTGCCCTGCTGGACCCCTGGCACCTCTGGGGGCATCTTGCACCTTAGCAGAGAAATAAGCACATCAGCACTCATAGAGGTGGGCCCAGGCAGTCTCCTTCCTCCCCAGCCCCCCCCCCCAGCTGGCCTCCTGTCACCTCCGGCATGCTGGCCTGCCTTCCAGAAGGGACGGATTCTAGGGGCTCTCTTGGCGCCTCTTGGGGACCCCACAAGTGTCTCTGGCCTCACTATGGGCTTTCCAAAGCTGGTGACTCACCCAGGAGGGGAGCCCTGGATGTCATTTTTATTGTCCCCACCATTGTCCTTCTGTGTCTCTTCACTTTAGGAGTTAGAAGACCTTGCTCACCTACCACTGGGCCTGGGGCATAAAGGGAGGTCTGTTGGTTGGGGACTGGCTGCACCCGCTGTTGCATATAAACCTGGGGTGAAGCTCTCCTCCTTTATCCCCGCCCCCCTTCCCACCCCCTAGCCTGGTTCCCTTTAAAGGGAAGATTTTTGCTTTCAGGAAAGTGAGGAAGGGGAGGGGGGATGTGGAAGGATACCTTAAAGGAATTCAGACTCAGCATGTTTTTTCTGTTGTTCCTCCAATTCCCCAAACTGTAATTAAGGGGAAAAAAAAAAAAGCAAGAACCTTGTAGGCATTCCGGCATCTGAGTTCTTTTTACAATGTATTCTTTTCTTTTGGATGCTTTCAAGTGAGCGCCTATGGTTGGGAAAGAAGCTGCCGTGGGCACTTCTTTCTGGGTTGGGGTGTGAGGCACTGAACAGACTGGAAAACGTGTAACATCAGCTTGGCTTATAGGGACCAAGACTTGTCAGCTCCCGAGAAACTTGGGGAGCAGGCACCCACACTGGCCTCGTGGGGAGACATGTGGGCTGTGGGTCCAATTCAGAGAACTGTTCGTGGGACAGCAATGCTCATCATTGCCCAGAAACCAGGCCAGGCTGGCAAGGTGGTTATATGCATGTGGGCCATTGCAGGGTACCCCCATGCGTGCCAAGGACTGTGCCCGAGGTGCTCGTTGTTTTTTCCTGCAGCAGTTTAGCTGGAGAGCGGAGTCCATGTGAGAGACAGAGTAGGCAGGAACTGTCTTGTTAGAGGAGTGGGAGCCAGGAGTAGGGTACGGCTGGGGCCTTCCTGCAGCGTATCAGTACCTTTCTCGGCTGGGCTGTTAACCCCAACAGAAAGAGGCTTCAGGCTGGAGAGAGGTCTGACCCAGTGCAGATGAAAGAGACTCCCATTCCAGGGTGCACCCTCTCCCACCAGCTTCCTGGGTCCAGTGTGTACCTCCCCACCCCCTGCCTGCCCACCTGCCCACCTGCCCGGGTCTTCTGGTTTCCATGGATGTCACAGCGTGTGGTGCAGCCCTGCAAGCTGAGCTCCCTCGGCAGGAAAGTTCAAAGATGGCCCGCGCTTGGGGCTTTATTAGCAGTTGATGGATTCTTTGCAGACGCCAAGTCCCTGCCTGATGAATCACTTTCTGCTCCAAGCCCTCGTCCCTCTCATGTTTTCCCATGTGTCACTGTGTGTGTGTGTACGCGCGCACGCGCATGCATGCATACTTCAGTACACACACACACACTAGTGGATCATAGGGTGTGCGTTTGCAGGCTTACTCACAGGCCTCCTCTTCTATCCAGGACTGTTTGCTGCTTTTTTTGAGGGGCGGGGGTGGACATGGCAGGGTAGCGAGGAGGAGAGGAAGTTAATGGAGATGATGGGTGCCCAGGTCCCAGCATGCCTGAGGAGGCTGCAGTGAGTGTGGGTTATGCAGTGTTGGTTCTCCAGCCCACTCGGGCTGAGGACAGGCATCCCATGCCCTCCCCGCCCCCAGATGAGGCAGTTCCTGGTTATGGATTCTGAGTCCAATTGCTGCAAAAACATCCAGGTCACAGCACAGCACAAGTCTCCCCTTGCCAGCCCCCCAGGAGACTGTGAGCCTGCAGAGCCTCAGGGAGAGCTTTAGGAGGCTTCCTTGCCCCCTCTCCGCACTGCTTCTCTCCCACCCCCCCCCCAAGGGTTTTTTTTTTTTTGTTGGTTAACAAATACAAGACTTCCGGTCTCCACCCTGCTGCCACAAACCACTGCATCCCTGCAGCCTGGCTGGGAAGATTTATGGGCCCCAATCTGAAGCCCCACTCCCCACCAGCCCCAGGATTAAGGAGGAGTCAGAATGCCAGCCAGCCACCAGGCTGTCCCCCACCCCTCCCAAAGGTCCTGGGAATGGAGCGCCCCAGTAGGAAAATCATCTTCACACACTCAGCCAGTGCCCTGGGCAGAACCCTGTTGCAGATCAAGGAAGCTGGGTGGGGCCTGCTGGGAGGCAAGGAAGGTCCTGGAGGAGGAGCAGCCTTGCATGGTGCAGGGAGTGTGTGTGTGCGCGCGTATGTGGGGGGGGGGCACTGGCAGAGGAGGGGTCTTTTCCTGGATGGCCCCAGTCTATCCTGGATTCATTGTCTGGTGCTTGGTTCTTGAGCTTTGTTAAGGAGATCTGGTGGCTGGGTGTCACAGTGCCTGCTGTGGGTTGGACCATGTGGCTGTTAGGTCTGGTCTGGTCCCCTGAGCAATCAACCTTAAAAATCATCTTGGTGTCTGTTAGGATGACCTTGGTATTGGCTATTCCTGGCTTTCAAAGCTGAGTCCAGGTGGAAAGATGCATAATTCCTGGCCTTCTGTAGCCTTAAAAGCAGAAGAAGCCATGTGACAAAGCCGCTGTGCCCCCCCTTCACCCCTGCACCCTGCCGTGTGCTGCAAGGATGGGACATCTGTGACCAGGTCCTGGGCCCTGGGCTTGCGGGCAAGCCAGGCTCTCGTCTGATGGTTCGGAACATCCAGCCCTCCAGCTTAGCAGGCAGCCTGGTTCCCCTCCTCCCTTCTGTCTTGCACTGCAGGGGCTGGGTCCTAGGTCCACATGGAACAGCAGTCCCTTCCATGCTAACCATGTCCATTCTTTTACCTTGCAGATTCCCAACTTCTTCTGGAGCCTGGGGATCGGTCACACTGGTGCGTGGTGGCATACTGGGAGGAGAAGACGCGCGTGGGGAGGCTCTACTGTGTCCAGGAGCCCACCCTGGACATCTTTTATGATCTACCTCAGGGGAACGGCTTCTGCCTCGGCCAGCTCCATTCGGACAACAAAAGTCAGCTGGTGCAGAAAGTGCGGAGCAAAATTGGCTGCGGCATCCAGCTGACGCGGGAGGTGGATGGCGTGTGGGTGTATAACCGCAGCAGCTACCCCATCTTCATCAAGTCCGCCACACTGGACAACCCAGACTCCAGGACGCTGTTGGTGCACAAGGTGTTCCCTGGCTTCTCCATCAAAGCATTCGACTATGAGAAGGCGTACAGCCTGCAGCGGCCCAACGACCACGAGTTCATGCAGCAGCCGTGGACTGGCTTCACCGTGCAGATCAGCTTCGTCAAGGGCTGGGGCCAGTGCTACACCCGCCAGTTCATCAGCAGCTGCCCGTGCTGGCTGGAGGTCATCTTCAACAGCCGGTAGCCACGTGCCGGATGGGACACGGACGGGATACAGAGCATCAGCCGAGCAGGCCACCGAGCAGGCCACCGTTCAAACTACTTTGCTGCTAAGACTTCCCTCCTGCGTGCTTGCTTTTCATGCAGACTCTTTGGGTCGTATTTTTTTTTTCCTCGTCGTCCTTGTCATTTTTGTGTTCTATTTTGTTTTGAGAAATAGCTTATGGAAAGAATTGTTGGATTTTTTTGTTTTTTTCCTAAAGCGGGGTTGGGGAGCAGGTATGGTTGACAGGGACACCCCTCGTCAGAAAAGGAGGAAGCAGTGTGTATGAATGAGGAGCAGCCCTCACCTCTATTTGTCATTTCACCTGTCGGGAGTGTATGTGTGAGTGTGTGCATGCGTGTGTGTGCGTGAAGGATGGAAGGGGCGTGGCAGAGAAAGGACATCCTGTTTGCTCCTGATAAATGTCCCCATCATAAGGTTGGTGGCCCCAGCTGTGTGTCTTTTGCCAGTAGGACATGCCCAGTAGGGCACAGGCAGTACCTGGGCAAGCTGGTGGCTCCTGGCCACGGGAGCCTCCCCAGGTCCCTGTGTCCCCCGCCCCCTGCCACCCCCCACGCTTCCTCCCTTCGAGGACTCGGGCCTACTCACAGGCTTCTGAGAAGCCGGCCAGTTAGGGGCTCCACCAGACCCAGTCGCTTCCATCCCCTCCTTACTCCTCCTTTGGCCACGCCCCGCCGGGCTGCTGTCCTGTTGTCTCTGGTGCTTGGCCATCTGCTCCTGGAACTCCCTGAGACGGCCCCGCCCCCTCTCCCCCAGGGCGGGGCTGCTGAGGCAGCTCCCTCTCCCCTCATTGCATCATCATAGGTTTCCTGGACATAGAAAACCAGCTTCCACCCTCACCCCTACCACCCCTACCCTGCAGCCTGTGCTTTCAGCTCAGCTGTTAGACCAGCGAGGGGGGCATCCCTGGGAGAGAGCCCCTCAGCAGTCTCCACCCCCACCAAGCAGGATCTGGTCCCTCTGCACCCAAGGTACCATCCTAGGCTGACACCTGCCTCATCTTTCATTTCTCCTGCAACTCATACACTCGTATGATAATTTGACACTGTTCTTAGCTCAATGAGCATGTTTAGAATTTAACATAAGCTATTTTTCTAACTACAAAGGTTTAAATGAACAAGAGAAACATTCTCATTGGAAATTTAGCATTGTAGTGCTTTGAGAGAGAAAGGACTCCCGAGGGGGAAAAAAAAAACCCCGAGATTTATTAAAGAAAAAAATGTATTTTATGTTATATATAAATATATTATTACTTGTAAATACAAAGACGTTTTATAAGCATCATTATTTATGTATTGTGCAATGTGTATAAACAAGAAAAATAAGGAAAAGATGCACTTTGCTTTAATATAAATGCAAATAACAAATGCCAAATTAAAAAAGAGAAACACGAGATGGGTGTTTTTTTCTATGGGTGTTATCACCTAGCTGAATGTTTTTCTAAAGGAGTTTATGTTCCATTAAACAATTTTTAAACCGTACACTTGATTCCACGTTGTCTTCCAGCTCCATTTTCTTCTGCTGCTGGGGCGGGGAGGGTTTGGAGCTCTGGCCCAGGGTCTGGGTTTGCTGGGAAGGGATGTGGGCCCCGAAGTGGGTAGATATGGGATGCAGTTTTGATCTTCAAGCAGCTGGGAAGACCAGCTCCCTTCTGGTTAGGCCTCTACCCTAGGTGTGCTGCATGGTGTTTGGAACTTGCAGTATGGGAAACGGGAGCTTGTGGTAGAGCTGCTAACCGCACTGTGCCTAGAGGAGAATCTCCTGGCCAGACTGGATTCCAGGACTGGGGCCTTGGGAATGACTTTCCCTTGTGCAGTGTTCTAAGCCATCTTGGAATTGGAGTGCCAGTCCAACTCCTGGCTACTCAGATTGCTACCCAGCTTGCTGCCCACCTTGGAGGCAGCAGACTATGTGACTCAGGCTGTTGCCACCCATGGAGGAGACCTGGATGGAATTCCAGGCTCCTGGTTTGATCCTAGCCCAATCCTGGCTGTTGGAGGCATTTTATTTGGTGAGTGAACCAGAGGATGATGGAAGATTTCCTCTTTCACACTGCTTTTCAAACAGAAGAAAATTCCCCAGGAGCTGACGCTGTGGCATCCCCTCTGGGAAAAAGGAGCATCCCATGTGCACAACAGTTTTGAGTCCAGCTGCTCCACTTCTGGTCCAGCTCCTTGTTAATTTGCTTGGGAAAGAAAGCAGAGGGAGATTGGGCCACTGCAGCAACATGGAAGACCTAGATGAGGCTCCTGGCTTCATTCTGGCCTACTTGGTTAATGCAGGCATTTGGGGAGTGAGCCAGCGATGAAAGATCTGTCTGCATCTCTACCTCTCCTCTCTCAACTGCTATTCAAATAAATAACCTTTATTTATTAATTATTATTTTTTTTTTTAGTTGCTAGGAGTTGTGTAGCAAATTGGTCAGGCACCTGCAGAGGTGTCAGAGAGTTTCAGAAGGTTTCAGTCCTGGGACTTGAATTTGGGAGGGCCCACATGATCCCACTACTTGGGCAGGGGGGTGGATCTGGGAGGAGGCAGGATGGGAGTGTGCATGGATGGGGAAAGAGAATGTGGGCACCAGCCCTGGCCGTAGAAGCCCTTCTCGTGGTCATTCCATGAATCCCCTCGGAGCTCCCAGGACTGTGCTGCAGGCAGCCAAGGAGTGACTCAGTCCCACCATTGCCTTGAGTCATGGTGAAGGCCGAGATGTCCACACTTAGAATCGCTGGTGACATGGCCTTGCGTGGTTGAGCGCTGGGGACACGGCCCCGGGGCAGGGCACCTTGCCCCATGGAAGATTTCCTGCTACTGACTTTTCCTTGCTCAGTTCACGTCTCAAGTTTTGGGATGTTTGAACAGACTTTCTCCTCATGATGTCAACTCTCATGGCAGCCAAGTACTCTGGTAGCTTCATTTCCAGTGCCCCATCAGCAACCTCTGTCACCCCCGTCTTGTAGTATAAAATCCTGGGAGGGATGTTTGGGGCAGTGGTAGGGTGCCTAGACTTGCCTTGTCTTTTTCTTGCTGACGTGCACCCTGCAAGGCAATAGGGGATGACTTGAGTCCCACCCATATGGGAGACCCAGACTGGGTTCTAGACTCCTGGCTTTGAGCCCACAGATAAAAGATCTTTGTCTGCTTTTCAAACACCACCCAAGAAACTCCTCCCCCATCTCCCTGACAAAACCTGTCTGCCTCCTTCAATCAATACTTACAACATGAGGGGCTGGCATTGTTGTACTGGTTAAACTCATCTGCAAGACTTGCATCTTACATGAGCGCAGGTTGGAGTCCCAGCTGCTCCAATTTTGATCCAGCTTCCTGCTAATGTGTGCCTGGGAAAACAGCAGCAGACTGTCCAAGTACTTGGAACCCTGCACCCGCATGGGAGACTTGCATTAAGCTCCAGGCTCTTGACTTTGCTCTCCTCCAGTCCTAGCCATTGTAGTCATTTGAAGAGTGAGCCAACAAAGCTTTTGTTTTTCAATCCCACTTTCTTTCTTCAACCTTGCCTTTCAAATAAGATAAGTATTTAAAGTGATAATTTTACCAAGTGAATGTTTCTCATTTCTGGGTCTCTTACATGGGTGCAAGGGCCCAAACCATTGGGTCATCCACTACTGTTTTTCCAGGTGCATTAGCAGAGAGCTGGGTCAAAAGTGGAGCAGCTGAGACTTGAACCAGAGCCCATATTGGATTCCAGCATCACAGGCAGTGGCCTAATCAGCTATGCCACAATGCCAGCCCCTGCTACCTTCTTTTTTTTTTTTTTTCTTAATGATTTATTTTGTTTTTTTAATTGGAAAGGCAGATATACAGATAGAAGGAGAGACAGAAGGCCCGGCATGGTAGCCTAATTGTTAAAGTCCTTGCCTTGCACATGCCAGGATCCCATGTGGGCACTGGTTCTAATCCCGGCGGCCCAACTGCCTGTCCAGCTCCCTGCTTGTGGCCTGGGAAAGTAGTCAAGGATGGCCCACAACTTTGGGACCTGAACCCAAGTTGGAGACCTGGAAGAAGCTCCTGGTTCCTGACTTTGGATCAGAGCTCAACTCTGGCAGTTGTGGTCACCTGGGTAGTAAATCATCAGATGAAAGACCTTCCTCTCTGTCTCTCCTCCTCTCTGTATATTGGACTTTCCAATAAAAAATAAACAAATCTCAAAAAGAAGAAGAAGGACAGAGAGAAAGCTCTTCCATCCATTGGTTCACTCCCCAAGTGGCTGCAATGGCCAAAGCTGAGCTGATCTGACGTCAGGAGTCAGGAATTTCTTCCAGGTCTCCAACATGGGTGCAGGGTCTCAAGGCTTTGGGCCATCCTCTACTGCTTTCCCAGGCCACAAGTAGGGAGCTGGATGGGAAGTGTCGCAGCAGGGATAAGAAATGGTACTCCTATGGGATCTCAGTAAATGCAAGGGGAGGATTTAGCCACTAGGCTATCACCCCTGGCCATCCAGCTGCCTTCTTTTATCCTCTCTGATATAGCTGATTTCAGAGCTTTCTGACCTCTCCTGGATCTTGCTGTCTCATCAAGTGGTCCTTCAGCATCCTTCTCTTCCACTCTCAGCAGGTCTCTTGTTACTTCTGCAGGTGCATCGCACTCCCAGCTCCTGTTGTTTCTGGGTTTCCATTGCAGCACCTTCTCTAGTCAGCTGAATCCTCCTTATCCGGCAGAATGCCACACAGGCCACACCACCCCCAGGGAATCTCTCCCTTTGTAAAACATCTGTATTGGAAAGAGATTGCAGTGTAGGATTCTGCCTCCGATACTGAACCCTGAGCTCTAGACAGCTGGGCCCTAGTGAGCATCTACTGCTCTGATGGTTACAGGCATGGTTCTTGGATGGGGCTACCCAGAAAGTGAGAGTGGAAGAGGCGGGATTGAGGATTTGGCGTAGACACAGAATGCTTATATTGAGCAGCTAACATGCTAACTTTCTGACTAAGCACTGTCCACTGAGATTGTCCCATACAGTCCTTGCAACCACCCTGCAAATACACACCATGATCATCATCATCCCCTCTCTACAGATGAAGAAACTGCGGTTTTAGGGATTTTGCCCAAGATGCCCCAGGTGGCAAGTGGTGGAGTGAGATTTCCTCACCTCGGTGCTAACTGGTCTCTCCCAGCAGGGCTGGGTCAGGAATGACTGAGTTAGGTGTCTGTTTTCTTACACAAGCTGGATGGTGAAGGGATCATAAATCAACATTCCTTTGGGCTGTACACAGTGGGGAGAAAGCAAAGGCCAGTGGCAGCCAGTACTGTACAGCTGGGGCACCCTGGCCTGGGGCAGAGGGAGGAGTGTGGCCAAGGATGAGCCCAGGCAGCCCCCTGTTTCCCAGCGACCAGAGCAGCAGACCTGAGCTGCCAGCTCAGCGGTTTTCCCCAGCCAGAAGTCTGCCCCCACCCTCTACGTCTGAAAAGAATGATTTTCTAAAAATGGACTCCCTCCCCTCCCCCAGCTGCAATTAATCTACCAAACATAAAGTGGCCGCTGGAGGAGGCCCCTGGTGGCTTAGAACCAGTGGCAGCATTTTGATTAATTCAAGGACAATTTACTGGCTGGGACTGGGGGCAAGGGGTGGGCAGGCACACACTGCCCAGGTGGGGACAAGGCCCAGCCCACTGCTGTGGGAGCCATAGAGACTCAGAGCGATGGGGGATTGAGGGTTTCTTTGGAGAAGTCCCTGCCTGCT